CACCCACTCACTCACTCACACACTCACCCACCCTCTCACTCACTCACTCACCCACTCACTCACCCACTCACCCACCCACTCACTCACCCACTCACTTACTCACCCACCCACCCACCCACTCACTCACTCACTCACCCACTCACTCACTCAGCTAGTCACCCACTCACCCACCCACCCACTCACCCACCCACTCAGCTAGTCACCCACTCACTCACCCACTCACTCAGCTAGTCACTCACTCACCCACTCAGCTAGTCACCCACTCACTCACCCATTCAGCTAGTCACCCACTCACTCACCCACTCAGCTAGTCACCCACCCACTCACTCACCCACCCACTCACCCACTCAGCTAGTCACTCACTCAGCAAACAACTCACCCACCCACTCAGTCACTCACCCACTCAGTCACGTAGTCACTCACTCACCCACTCAGTCACTCACCCACTCAGTCATGTAGTCACTCACTCACCCACTCAGTCACTCACCCACTCAGTCACGTAGTCACTCACTCACCCAACCACTCAGTCACGTAGTCACTCACTCACCTAACCACTTACCCTACCACTCACTCACTCACCCACTCAGTCACGTAGTCACTCAATCACCCAACCACTCAGTCACTCACTCACCCACCCACCCACTCACCCACTCACTCACTCACCCACTCACTCACTCACCCACTCACCCACCCACTCACCCACCGACTCACTCACCCACTCAGTCACGTAGTCACTCACTCACCTAACCATTCAGTCATGTAGTCACTCACCTAACCACTTACCCTACCACTCACTCACTCACTCACCCACTCAGTCACGTAGTCACTCAATCACCCAACCACTCACTCACCCACCCACTCACCCACCGACTCACTCACCCACTCAGTCAAGTAGTCACTCACTCACCCAACCACTCAGTCACTCACTCACCCACCCACTCACTCACCCACTCACTCACTCACCCACTCACCCACTCACTCACTCACCCATCCACTCACTCAGCTAGTCACCCACCAACTCACCCACTCACTCACCCATCCATTCACTCAGCTAGTCACTCACCCACTCACTCACCCACTCACCCACTCACCCACTCACTCACTCACCCACTCACCCAACCACTCAGTCACTCACTCACCCACCCACCCACTCACCCACCCACTCACCCACCGACTCACTCACCCACTCACTCACTCACCCACTCACTCACCCACTCACTCACTCACCCACTCACTCACTCACTCACCCACTCACTCACTCACCCACTCACCCACTCACTCACCCACCCACTCACCCACTCACTCACTCACCCACCCACTCACTCACTCACTCACCCACTCACTCACTCACCCACTCACTCACTCACCCATCCACTCACTCAGCTAGTCACCCACCCACTCAACCAACCCACTCGCTGCTACTCCCATCACTTGTCCCTAGAGGCTACAACGGGGGGTTGGGGGTGGGGGGGGGTGTGTGGAGTTACCTCTGCCCCGTGACCTCTGCCCCGTGACCTCTGCCCCGTGACCTTTGCACGCGCGTGAGGGAGCAGGGCTGCCAGCGGATCGTGGAGGACTGGCAGAGGGTGTTGATGGTCCGCTCGCTGGTGCTGAGCATCAACCAGAACATGCGCACGCTCCTCAAGTATGCCAGCCTGTGTGGCAAGAGTCGCCGGCTGGTGAGTGGGTGGGTGGGTGGGCGGGTGGGCGGGTGGGTGGGTGGGTGGGTGAGTGAGTGGGTGGGTGGGTGGGTGAGTGGGTGGGTGGGTGGGTGAGTGGGTGAGTGAGTGAGTGGGTGAGTGAGTGAGTGGGTGAGTGGGTGGGTGAGTGGGTGAGTGGGTGAGTGGGTGGGTGGGTGAGTGGGTGAGTGGGTGAGTGGGTGGGTGGGTGAGAGAGTGGGTGGGTGAGTGGGTGGGTGGGAGGGTGAGTGGGTGGGTGGGTGAGTGAGTGGGTGGGTGAGTGAGTGGGTGAGTGTGTGGGTGAGTGGGTGAATGGGTGGGTGATTGGGTGGGTGATTGGTTGGGTAGTTGGGTGGTTGGTTGGGTGGGTGGTTGGTTGGGTGGGTGGGCGGGGGGGTGGGTGAGTGGGTAGTTGGGTGGTTGGGTGGGTGGTTGGGTGGTTGGTTGGTTGGTTGGGTGGGTGGGTGATTGGGTAGTTGGGTGGTTGGGTGGGTGGTTGGTTGGGTGGGTGGGTGGTTGGGTGATTGAGTGGTTGGGTGGGTGGTTGGGTGATTGAGTGGTTGGTTGGGTGGGTGGGTGAGTGGGTGGTTGGGTGATTGGGTGGGTGGTTGGGTGAGTGGGTGAGTGGGTGAGTGTGTGAGTGAGTGGGTGAGTGGGTGGGTGAGTGAGTGAGTGAGTGGGTGGGTGAGTGAGTGAGTGGGTGAGTGGGTGAGTGAGTCGGTGAGTGGGTGGGTGGGTGAGCGGGTGGGTGGGTGTGCGGGTGGGTGGGTGGGTGGGTGGGTGTGTGGGTGAGTGGGTGGGTGAGTGGGTGGGTGAGTGAGTGGGTGGGTGAGTGAGTGAGTGAGTGTGTGGGTGAGTGGGTGAGTGGGTGGGTGATTGGGTGGGTGATTGGTTGGGTAGTTGGGTGGTTGGTTGGGTGGGTGGTTGGTTGGGTGGGTGGGCGGGTGGGTGGGTGAGTGGGTAGTTGGGTGGTTGGGTGGGTGGTTGGTTGGTTGGGTGGGTGGGTGGGTGGTTGGGTGGGTGGGTGGGTGGTTGATTGGGTGGTTGGTTGGGTGGGTGGGTGATTGAGTGGTTGGGTGGGTGGTTGGGTAGGTGGGTGGGTGAGTGGGTGGTTGGGTGATTGGGTGGGTGGTTGGGTGAGTGGGTGGGTGGGTGGGTGGTTGGGTGAGTGGGTAGGTGGTTGGTTGGGTGGGTGGTTGGGTGGGTGGGTGAGTGGGTGGGTGGGTGGGTGATTGGGTGGGTGATTGGGTGAATGGGTGAGTGGTTGGTTGGGTAGTTGGGTGGTTGGGTGGTTGGGTGGTTGATTGGGTGGTTGGTTGGGTGGGTGGGTGATTGAGTGGTTGGGTGGGTGGTTGGGTAGGTGGTTGGTTGGGTGGGTGGGTGGGTGAGTGGGTGGTTGGGTGATTGGGTGGGTGGTTGGGTGAGTGGGTGGGTGGTTGGGTGAGTGGGTGGGTGGGTGGTTGGGTGAGTGGGTAGGTGGTTGGTTGGGTGGGTGGGTGGTTGGGTGGGTGGGTGGGTGAGTGGGTGGTTGGGTGGGTGGGTGGGTGATTGGGTGGGTGAGTGGGTGGGTGGGTGATTGGGTGGGTGATTGGGTGGGTGGTTGGGTGAGTGGGTGGGTGGGTGGTTGGGTGAGTGGGTGGGTGGGTGGTTGGGTGAGTGGGTAGGTGGTTGGTTGGGTGGGTGGGTGGGTGAGTGGGTGGGTGGGTGATTGGGTGGGTGATTGGGTGGGTGGGTGATTGGGTGGGTGATTGGGTGGGTGATTGGGTGAGTGGTTGGTTGGGTAGTTGGGTGGGTGGGTGGTTGGGTGGGTGGGTGGTTGGGTGGGTGGGTGATTGGGTGGTTGAGTGGGTGGTTGGGTAGGTGGTTGGTTGGGTGGGTGGGTGGGTGAGTGGGTGGTTGGGTGATTGGGTGGGTGGGTGGGTGGTTGGGTGAGTGGGTAGGTGGTTGGTTGGGTGGGTGGGTGGTTGGGTGGGTGGGTGGGTGAGTGGGTGGTTGGGTGGGTGGGTGGGTGAGTGGGTGGGTGGGTGGGTGATTGGGTGGGTGAGTGTGTGGGTGGGTGATTGGGTGGGTGATTGGGTGGGTGGTTGGGTGAGTGGGTGGGTGGGTGGGTGGTTGGGTGAGTGGGTAGGTGGTTGGGTGGGTGGGTGGGTGGTTGGGTGGGTGGGTGGGTGAGTGGGTGGTTGGGTGGGTGGGTGGTTGGGTGGGTGGGTGAGTGGGTGGGTGATTGGGTGGGTGATTGGGTGAGTGGTTGGTTGGGTAGTTGGGTGGGTGGGTGGTTGGGTGGTTGGGTGGGTGGGTGATTGGGTGGTTGGGTGGGTGGTTGGGTGGGTGGGTGGGTGGTTGGGTGGGTGGGTGGGTGATTGGGTGGTTGTGTGTGTGGTTGTGTGTGTGGTTGTGTGGTTGTGTAAGTGGGCGGGCCGTTGCCGATTTGCCGCGCCCAACCTTTGAGCGGTCCACCGAAGGCTTCCCGGGGGACCTTTGTCTGTGTCTCTGTGTGTGTGTGTGTCTGTGTGTGTGTGTGTCTGTGTGTGTGTCTGTGTCTGTGTGTGTGTGTGTCTGTGTGTGTGTGTGTCTGTGTGTGTCTGTGTGTGTGTGTGTCTGTGTGTGTGTGTCTGTGTGTGTGTGTCTGTGTGTGTGTGTGTGTCTGTGTGTCTGTGTGTGTGTGTGTCTGTGTGTGTGTGTCTGTGTGTGTGTGTCTGTGTGTGTGTGTCTGTCTGTGTGTGTGTCTGTCTGTGTGTGTGTCTGTCTGTGTGTGTGTCTGTGTGTGTGTGTGTGTCTCTGTCTGTGTGTGTCTGTGTGTGTGTGTGTGTCTGTGTCTGTGTGTGTCTGTGTGTGTGTGTGTGTCTCTGTCTGTGTGTGTATGTGTGTGTGTGTGTGTCTGTGTCTGTGTGTGTGTCTGTGTGTGTCTGTGTGTGTCTGTGTGTCTGTGTGTGTGTGTGTCTGTGTGTGTGTGTCTGTGTGTGTGTGTCTGTGTGTGTGTGTCTGTCTGTGTGTGTCTGTCTGTGTGTGTGTCTGTCTGTGTGTGTGTCTGTGTGTGTCTGTGTGTGTGTGTGTGTCTCTGTCTGTGTGTGTATGTGTGTGTGTGTGTGTGTCTGTGTCTGTGTGTGTCTGTGTGTGTGTGTCTGTGTGTGTGTGTGTGTCTGTGTGTGTGTGTGTCTGTGTCTGTGTCTGTGTGTGTGTGTGTCTGTGTGTGTGTGTGTGTCTGTGTCTGTGTGTGTCTGTGTGTGTCTGTGTGTGTGTGTCTGTGTGTGTGTGGCCGCAGGCCCTGGCTCACAAGACGCTCGTCACCTTGCTGAACGTCGACCCATCGACTCACCTGGACCAGCCCCTGCCCACGTCTCACCCACGCGTCACCTACGCCTACATGAAGTACATGTGGAAGAGTAACCAGAAGGTGGGTGGGTGGGTGGGTAGGTGGGTGGGTGAGTGGGTGGGTGGGTGAGTGGGTGGGTGGGTGGGTAGGTGGGTTGGTGTGGTGGATGGGTAGGTGAGTGGGTGAGTAGGTGAGTGAGTAGGTGAGTGGGTGGGTAGGTGAGTGAGTCGGTGGGTAGGTGAGTGAGTGAGTAGGTGAGTGAGTGAGTGGGTAGATGAGTGAGTGGGTAGATGAGTGAGTGGTTAGATGAGTGAGTGGGCGGGTAGATGAGTGAGTGAGTGGGTAGATGTGTGAGTGGGTAGATGAGTGAGTGAGTGGGTAAGTGAGTAGGTGAGTGACTGAGTGAGTAGGTGAGTGACTGAGTGAGTAGGTGAGTGACTGAGTGAGTAGGTGAGTGACTGAGTGAGTGAGTGAGCAGGTGAGTGACTGAGTGAGTAGGTGAGTGACTGAGTGAGTAGGTGAGTGACTGAGTGAGTGAGTGAGCAGGTGAGTGACTGAGTGAGCAGGTGAGTAGGTGAGTGAGTGGGTGAGTGAGTAGGTGAGTGAGTGAGTAGGTGAGTGAGTGAGTGACTGAGTGAGTAGGTGAGTGAGTGAGTTGGTGAGTGACTGAGTGAGTAGGTGAGTGAGTGGGTGAGTGTATGAGCCCGCTGGCAGGCTAGGCAGGTGACCTGTGTCTCTGCGTCTCTTTACAGCTGGAGGCCTTCCAGCACATGCATGAGTGGGTAGATGAGTGAGTGGGTGGGTAGGTGAGTGAGTGGGTAGGTGAGTTGGTGGGTGGGTAGGTGAGTGAGTGAGTGAGTGGGTGGGTAGGTGAGTGGGTGCGTAGGTGAGTGGGTGGGTAGGTGAGTGAGTGGGTGGGTACATGAGTGAGTGGGTAGATGAGTGAGTGGGTGGGTAAATGAGTGAGTGAGTGGGTGGGTGGGTAGATGAGTGAGTGAGTGGGTAGATGAGTGAGTGGGTGGGTAGATGAGTGAGTGGGTGGGTAGATGAGTGAGTGGGTAGATGAGTGAGTGGGTAAGTGAGTAGGTGAGTGACTGAGTGAGTAGGTGAGTGACTGAGTGAGCAGGTGAGTGACTGAGTGAGCAGGTGAGTGAGTGAGCAGGTGAGTGAGTGAGTGAGCAGGTGAGTGAGTGGGTGAGTGTATGAGCCCGCTGGCAGGCTAAGCAGGTGACCTGTGTCTCAATGTCTCTTTACAGCTGGAGGCCTTCCAGCACGTGCATGAGTGGGTAGATGAGTGAGTGGGTGGGTAGGTGAGTGAGTGAGTGGGTAGGTGAGTGAGTGGGTGGGTAGGTGAGTGAGTGAGTGGGTGGGTAGGTGAGTAGGTGAGTGACTGAGTGAGCAGGTGAGTGACTGAGTGAGTGACTGAGTAGGTGAGTGAGTGAGTGACTGAGTGAGTAGATGAGTGAGTGAGTGAGTGGGTGAGTGTATGAGCCCGCTGGCAGGCTAGGCAGGTGACCCGTGTCTCTGTGACTCTTTACAGCTGGAGGCCTTCCAGCACATGCATGAGTGGGTAGATGAGTGAGTGGGTAGGTGAGTGAGTGAGTGGGTGGGTGGGTAGGTGAGTGAGTGGGTGGGTAGGTGAGTGAGTGAGTGGGTAGATGATTGAGTGGATAAGTGAGTAGGTGAGTGACTGAGTGAGTGAGTGAGTAGGTGAGTGAGTAACTGAGTGAGTGAGTGAGCAGGTGAGTGAGTGAGTGAGTGGGTGAGTGTATGAGCCCGCTGGCAGGCTAGGCAGGTGACCCGTGTCTCTGTGTCTCTTTACAGCTGGAGGCCTTCCAGCACATGCATGAGTGGGTAGATGAGTGGGTGGGTAGGTGAGTGGGTGGGTAGGTGAGTGGGTGGGTAGGTGAATGAGTGGGTGGGTAGTTGAGTGAGTGAGTGGGTGGGTGGGTAGGTGAGTGAGTGAGTGAGTGGGTGGGTAGGTGAGTGAGTGAGTGGGTGGGTGGGTGGGTAGGTGAGTGAGTGAGTGGGTGGGTAGGTGAGTGAGTAGGTGAGTGAGTGAGTGAGTGGGTAGATGAGTGAGTGGGTGGGTAAATGAGTGAGTGAGTGGGTGGCTAGGTGAGTGAGTGAGTAGGTGAGTGAGTGAGTAGGTGAGTGAGTGGGTAGGTGAGTGACTGGGTGGGTGGGTAGGTGAGTGAGTGGGTAGATGAGTGAGTGGGTGGGTAGATGAGTGAGTGGGTAGATGAGTGAGTGGGTAAGTGAGTAGGTGAGTGACTGAGCGAGTAGGTGAGTGACTGAGTAGGTGTGTGAGTGAGTGAGTGAGTGACTGAGTGAGTAGGTGAGTGAGTGAGTGACTGAGTGAGTAGATGAGTGAGTGTATGAGCCCGCTGGCAGGCTAGGCAGGTGACCCGTGTCTCTGCGTCTCTTTACAGCTGGAGGCCTTCCAGCACATGCATGAGTGGGTAGATGAGTGAGTGGGTAGATGAGTGGGTGGGTAGGTGAGTGAGTGAGTGAGTAGCTGATTGAGTGAGTAGGTGAGTGACTGAGTGAGTGAGTAGGTGAGTGAGTGAGTGAGTAGGTGAGTGAGTGAGTGAGCAGGTGAGTGAGCAGGTGAGTGAGTGAGTGAGTAGGTGAGTGACTGAGTGAGTGAGTGAGTAGGTGAGTGAGTGAGTGGGTGAGTGTATGAGCCCGCTGGCAGGCTAGGCAGGTGACCCGTGTCTCTGCATCTCTTTACAGCTGGAGGCCTTCCAGCACATGCATGAGTGGGTAGATGAGTGAGTGAGTAGGTGAGTGAGTGAGTAGGTGAGTGAGTGAGCAGGTGAGTGAGTGAGTGAGTAGGTGAGTGACTGAGTGAGTGACTGAGTGAGTAGGTGAGTGAGTGAGCAGGTGAGTGACTGAGTGAGTGACTGAGTGAGTAGGTGAGTGAGTGACTGAGTGAGTGAGTGAGCAGGTGAGTGAGTGAGTGTATGAGCCCGCTGGCAGGCTAGGCAGGTGACCCGTGTCTCTGCGTCTCTTTACAGCTGGAGGCCTTCCAGCACATGCATGAGTGGGTAGATGAGTGAGTGGGTAGGTGAGTGAGTGAGTGGGTAGATGAGTGGGTGGGTAGGTGAGTGAGTGAGTGTGTGGGTAGGTGAGTGAGTGGGTGGGTAGGTGAGTGAGTAGGTGAGTGACTGAGTGAGCAGTTGAGTGAGTGGGTGATTGACTGAGTGAGCAGGTGAGTGAGTGAGTGAGTAGGTGAGTGAGTGAGTAGGTGAGTGAGTGAGCAGGTGAGTGAGTGGGTAGATGAGTGAGTGACTGAGTGAGTGACTGAGCGAGTAGGTGAGTGACTGAGTGACTGAGTGAGCAGGTGAGTGAGTGGGTGAGTGTATGATCCCGCTGGCAGGCTAGGCAGGTGACCCGTGTCTCTGCGTCTCTTTACAGCTGGAGGCCTTCCAGCACATGCATGAGTGGGTAGATGAGTGAGTGGGTAGGTGAGTGAGTGGGTAGATGAGTGGGTGGGTAGGTGAGTGGGTAGGTGAGTGAGTGTGTGGGTAGGTGAGTGAGTGGGTGGGTAGGTGAGTGAGTAGGTGAGTGACTGAGTGAGCAGTTGAGTGAGTGGGTGATTGACTGAGTGAGCAGGTGAGTGAGTGAGTGAGTAGGTGAGTGAGTGAGTAGGTGAGTGAGTGAGCAGGTGAGTGAGTGGGTAGATGAGTGAGTGACTGAGTGAGTGACTGAGCGAGTAGGTGAGTGACTGAGTGACTGAGTGAGCAGGTGAGTGAGTGGGTGAGTGTATGAGCCCGCTGGCAGGCTAGGCAGGTGACCCGTGTCTCTGCGTCTCTTTACAGCTGGAGGCCTTCCAGCACATGCATGAGTGGGTAGATGAGTGAGTGGGTGGGTAGGTGAGTGAGTGAGTGGGTGGGTAGGTGAGTGAGTGAGTGGGTGGGTAGGGGAGTAGGTGAGTGACTGAGTGAGCAGGTGAGTGACTGAGTGAGTGATTGAGTAGGTGAGTGAGTGGGTGAGTGACTGAGTGAGTAGGTGAGTAGGTGAGTGAGTGAGTGAGTGAGTGGGTGGGTAGGTGAGTGGGTGGGTAGGTGAGTAGATGAGTGACTGAGTGAGGAGGTTAGTGACTGAGTGAGTGACTGAGTAGGTGAGTGAGTGAGTGACTGAGTGAGTAGGTGAGTGAGTGGGTGAGTGAGTGAGTGAGTGGGTGAGTGAGTAGGTGAGTGATTGAGTGAGTAGGTGAGTGAGTGACTGAGTGAGTGAGTGAGTGGGTGAGTGTATGAGCCCGCTGGCAGGCTAGGCAGTCGACCCGTGTCTCTGCGTCTCTTTACAGCTGGAGGCCTTCCAGCACATGCATGAGTGGGTAGATGAGTGAGTGGGTGGGTAGGTGAGTGAGTGAGTGGGTAAGTGAGTAGGTGAGTGACTGAGCGAGTGAGTGAGTGAGTGACTGAGCGAGTAGGTGAGTGACTGAGTGAGTAGGTGAGTGAGTGAGTTGGTGGGTAAGTGAGTAGGTGAGTGACTGAGTGAGTGAGTGAGTAGGTGAGTGAGTGAGTTGGTGGGTAAGTGAGTAGGTGAGTGACTGAGTGAGTGAGTGAGTGACTGAGCGAGTAGGTGAGTGACTGAGTGAGTGAGTGAGTAGGTGAGTGAGTGAGTTGGTGGGTAAGTGAGTAGGTGACTGACTGAGTGAGTGAGTGAGCAGGTGAGTGTATGAGCCCGCTGGCAGGCTAGGCAGTCGACCCGTGTCTCTGCGTCTCTTTACAGCTGGAGGCCTTCCAGCACATGCAGCACTTCGTGCAGATGCTGCAGCAGCAGCAGCAGCAGGGCCTGGGCATCACTTCAGCAAGCAGCCCTACAGACACGGACGGTCACCCGCAGCTCAGCCTCAGCAAACTCCTGGCCAGGTCCTCGTCACCATCATCATCATCGTCGCCGCCATCATCATCACCGCCACCATCATCACCGCCATCATCACCACCACCATCATCATCATCATCACCACCATCATCATCATCACCATCATCATCAACATCAACATCACCACTATCATCATCACCACGGCCACCATCATCATCACCACCATCATCACCACCATCACCTCCATAACCACCATCACCACCACCATCACCACCTCATCCATCTCCCCTCCGTCTCCTCAGCTCACAGTTACCTCGTCTGATGCAGAATCGCCAACTCGCCAAATATAGAAGCCTTTTTAACCCCGTGTCTCTCCGTGTGTCTCCCCCCGTGTCTCCCCCCGTGTCTCCCCCATGTCCCCCCGTGTCTCCCCCATGTCCCCCCCCGTGTCTCCCCCCGTGTCTTCCCCCATGTCTCCCCGTGTCTCCGTGTGTCTCTCCATGTCTCCCCGTGTGTCTCCGTGTCTCCCCGTGTCTCCCCGTGTCTCTCCGTGTCTCCCCGTGTCTCTCCGTGTCTCTCCGTGTCTCTCCCTGTGTCTCTCCGTGTGTCTCCCACTGTGTCTCTCCGTGTCTCCCCCGTGTGTCTCTCCGTGTGTCTCCCCCGTGTGTCTCTCCGTGTCTCTCCCCCGTGTGTCTCTCCCCGTGTCTCCCCGTGTCTCCCCGTGTGTCTCTCCGTGTGTCTCCCCGTGTCCCACCGTGTCTCTCCGTGTCTCCCCGTGTCTCCCCGTGTCTCCCCGTGTCTCCCCCTGTCCCACCATGTCCCAACGTGTCTCCCCCGTGTCTCTCCGTGTGTCTCTCCGTGTCTCTCCGTGTCTCACCGTGTCTCTCCGTGTCCCACCGTGTCTCCCCGTGTCTCTCCGCGTGTTTCCCCGTGTCTCCGTGTGTCTCCCCGTGTCTCCGTGTGTCCCCCGTGTGTCTCCCCGTGTCTCTGTGTGTCTCCCCCGTTTCTCTCCGTGTCCCACCGTGTCTCTCCGTGTCTCTGCGTGTCTCCCCGTGTCTCCGTGTGTCTCCGTGTCTCCCTGTGTCTCCCCGTGTCTCCCCGTGTTTCTCCGTGTCTCCCCATGTCTTCGTGTGTCTCCGTGTCTCCGTGTGTCTCTCCGTGTCTCCGTATGTCTCCCCGTGTCTCCCCGTGTCTCCCCGTGTGTCTCCGTGTGTCTCCCCGTGTCTCCCCGTGTCTCCGTGTGTCTCCGCGTGTCTCCCCGTGTCTCCCCGTGTGTCTCCCCGTGTCTCCGCGTGTCTCCCCGTGTCTCTCCGTGTCTCCCCGTGTCTCCCTGTGTCCCACCGTGTCTCCCCGTGTCTCTCCGTGTCCCACCGTGTCTCCCCGTGTCTCCCTGTGTCCCACCGTGTCTCCCCGTGTCTCCGCGTGTCTCCCCCGGGTCTCCCCGTGTGTCTCTCCGTGTGTCTCCCCGTGTCTCCCCGTGTGTCTCCCCGTGTCTCCCCGTGTGTCTCCGTGTCTCCGCGTGTCTCCCCGTGTCTCCCCGTTTCTCTCCGTGTGTCTCTCCGTGTCTCCCCGTGTCTCCCCGTGTCTCCGTGTGTCTCTCTGTGTGTCTCCCCGTGTCTCCCCGTGTCTCCGCGTGTCTCCCCGTGTCCCACCGTGTCTCCCCGTGTCTCCGCGTGTCTCCCCCGTGTCTCCCCGTGTGTCTCTCCGTGTGTCTCCCCGTGTCTCCCCGTGTGTCTCCCCGTGTCTCCCCGTGTGTCTCCGTGTCTCCGTATGTCTCCCCGTGTCTCCCCGTGTCTCACCGTGTCTACCCGTGTGTCTCTCCGTGTCTCCGCGTGTCTCCCCGTGTCTCCGTGTGTCTCCCCGTGTCTCACCGTGTCTCCCCGTGTGTCTCCCCGTGTCTCCCTGTGTCTCCCCGTGTCTCCCCGTGTCTCCCCGTGTCTCTCCGTGTGTCTCTCCGTGTGTCTCTCCGTGTGTCTCCCCGTGTCTCCCCGTGTGTCTCCCCGTGTCTCCCCGTGTCACTCCGTGTCTCCCCGTGTCTCCCCGTGTCTCCGCGTGTCTCCCCGTGTCTCCCCGTTTCTCTCCGTGTGTCTCTCCGTGTCTCCCCGTGTCTCCCCGTGTCTCCCCATGTCTCCCCGTGTCTCCCCCGTGTCTCCGCGTGTCTCCTCGTGTCTCCCCGTGTGTCTCTCCGTGTGTCTCCCCGTGTCTCCGCGTGTCTCCGCGTGTCTCCCCGTGTCTCTCCGTGGGTCTCTCCCGTGTCCCACCGTGTCTCTCCATGTCCCACCGTGTCTCCCCGTGTGTCTCCCCGTGTCTCCGCGTGTCTCTCCGTGTGTCTCCCCGTGTCTCACTGTGTCTCCCCGTGTCTCTCCCCGTGTCCCCAGGTGCTATCTAAAGCTGGGCGAGTGGCAGCTGAGTCTGCAGGGAATCAATGAGTGCACCATCCCACAAGTGCTGCAGTACTACAGCCGCAGCACTGAGCTGGACCACAGTTGGTACAAGGTGAGGGTGGGTGGGTCGGTGTGGGTGGGTGTGGGTGGGTGGGTGGGTGGGTGTGGGTGGGCGGTGTGTGGGTGGGTGAATGGGTGGGTGGGTGGGTCGCTGTGTGTGTGAGCGGGTCGCTGTGTGTGTGGGTGGGTTGGTGTGTGGGTGGGTGGGCGGGTCGGTGAGTGTGTGGGTGA